ATCTATGCTCGTAATAAGTACAATTCCCAAGTTTACGGTCACAAACAGTTGCTTATATAACAAAGAGAATAAGAGGAGTTTGTCAACTTATGAAACAGAAAACAAAGCAAAACTGATCTTGCCTCTGGCAGGACTCGGTGCAGCTGCCCAAGAATATCAATATTGGCGGACAGGAAAGTCTCTGGGCCCCGTCTGTGGCAGCTGCTCATGATGCCTGAAGCCTGTTGTTAATGGAGCAAATACCTGGCTTCGTAGTCTGTACTGGCTGTCTGAGGAGAGGGTAGGTCTCTCACAGCTTGTGGACCGAGAGAGGAGACCTCTGTTTCCCAGAAGCCACGGCAAACATCTGCCTCATGGTCTCCCGCTGGGTTATGTTCCTAACCATAGGAACCAGGAGTGGCCACTCTTTTGTGAGGGAAATTATGGTCATTTTGATTTGGGGAAGATGGGTTAAACCATCTGACATATATTAGAAATAACACTCCATGATGCTTAAGCTATTCCAAGTCTATTGGGGGTGTTGGTTGGAGATAAATGAGACAGGGTAAATACCACCAAAACCAGCTGGAAGAGTGAGTTATCCGAAGGAAGACTGGATATTGTCCAAAGAAGGAGCCTGAAAGACAACTGTTCAGCGGAGAAGGCTTCAGAGTCTTTGAGTCATAATCCAAATTATTTCTGAAAACATAAATTTTCCCCCTAGACAGGAAGGGGCTTCCCAAGGGAAGGTGGAGCCCTAGCCTCGTTTGTCTCTTACTACTCAGCCTGGGTAGGCTGGGTGTGTTGGTGCCTGAAATCCCAGTGCTTGGGATGTATAGGCAACCCAATCGCTTTCAAGTTCAAGGCTCGCCTTGTCTGCCCAGCAAGTGCCAGGCCAGCCAGGACTGCATATGTGAACCAATAGGCAGCCCACCTGAGAAGCGAGGTCGTGGAGGCTAGCCCAAGAACCCCACTGAGAGTCCTGTGCTCTTGTGTCACGGGGAGAGATTTAGGTCTCCACGGACTGGTTTGCTAGACTGGGTGGCAGCGGGCTCACACCACCACGGCTCTCATTTACGTCTCTGTGACACATCATCAGCTCCTACAGATAGATCTCGTCAAGCGTTTGAAGGACAAGCCCCTCAAAGGTGTTCTGTGGTGAACCTTGCTTATCTCATCTTTAAATGATTGGTTTAGCCGTCATGGTGTGTGTGTGTGTGTGTGTGTGTGTGTGTGAGAGAGAGAGAGAGAGAGAGAGAGAGAGAGATTGATTTGTATATTGAAAAAGATGATGTTACTTTTAAATATGAAAGAAAGCTGAAAGCATGCTTAGTTGAATAAAATTTGGCCATTTTAGTGTTCATCTTGTTTCCAAGATTTTGCAATAGTGTGGCATCCATTAAATAATAAGTATGCTATACGTTTCAGTGTGTGGTAACAAGAAGAAATGACCTCATAGCCATCCGGTCTGCTCTGTTGTGGTTTGTGATGCCATCTGGATTCTTTGGTGGAATTATCTAAATCACTGTAAACTTTTGTTCAGTTTTCATGAATCCGAAGCCAGATCTGTTTGTGGTTTTCAGCAGTGACGTAATCCTGGGACACACCGTGACTCTTAAAAGTTGTCATATACCATCAGGATTTAACTCAGAGTTTCATACAATTTCAGATAAACTAGAAGCCTGAGACAAAAATTCGCTTCTCCATTGGAGAGTTTATACCTCAGTGTTTCCTGGCGGCCTTGCCACTCTGGAGAGCCCCGCCACTCTGGAGAGCCCCGCCCCTCAGTCAGGAAGCTCAGATACAATGTTTCCGCTGATGTTCCCTTTTTATCCCTGTGTGGTAGAGAAAGAGCGAATCTCACTTCTTGGCCGACATTGTAAAAGTGAGTGGATTCTATTTCAAAGCATGTCCATATATGGGATGTACACAGTGAGCTGGACAGAAGAAATGAGGCCTCTCAGTCTTCCTTTCTCGGGTCCCTGCAGCCCCGTCGACTGCCTGGCAGGGGCACTACTAAAATTGCAGCAGTTCCTTGAAGAAACCGAGGGGCCTGAGAGCCACAAAGAAGAAGGAAGATTTCAAGGTCCTATGTCCTCATTCTGCGTTTCTTCCCAAAGCCTTAGGGATCTGAGAGTGGGACATGCCACCGATGACAGTGGTAGGGGGGTTGGTAAACTCCACCTGCAGTGCACAGCTGGCGCAGAAGACAAAGAGACAGGAAGAGCCAAAGGGAAAGCAGGATTTGTGGCTCGTGTCTCTATATAAATTTAAAGTGAGTTGAAAAACGATGTGGCCAATGATGGTGGCGCACACCTTTGATCCCAGTACTTGGGAGGCAGAGGCAGGGGAATCTCTGAGTTCAAGGTCAGCCTGGTCTACATAGTGAGTTCCAGGATAGCAAGAGCTACACAGAGAAACCCCATCTCAAAAAGAAGAGAGAGAGAGAGAGAGAGAGAGAGAGAGAGAGAGAGAGAGAAGGGGGAGAAGAAGGAGGAGAAGGAGAAGAAGAAGAAGAAGAAGAAGAAGAAGAAGAAGAAGAAGAAGAAGAAGAAGAAGAAGGAGAGAAAGAGAGAAAGAGAGAAAGAAAGAAAGAAAGAAAGAAAGAAAGAAAGAAAGAAAGAAAGAAAGAAAAGGAAACTGACTGAACAGGACAGGTATTTGTAGTACACTAGAACAACAGGAGGCAAAGAGTAACTCCACATGAAGGTGGTATAGTTTCTAAGTCCTAGGAAGGTATTAAGGCACAGAGATCCAGGAGACACCCATCCAAGGACTGGTCCGCATGTATCAGCACACGTGGAGAGCCTGGTTCAGGTCCTCGCACTGTTGCCTGGAGAAATGTAGATCCCTGAAGTGAGGCCTTTGGGTTTGTCGCTCTTTAGCCTTATGATATGAGGAGCCCGAGTCTTCTGCCTCACTGTCTTGAGCATAGACCACAGACTGAACATCTGGCAACCGTAATTATAGCCTTCTGGATACAGCGTGGCCACTGTCCTGAACTGTCAGTGTTGTGATTATCCACAGGAGGTCTGCACAGGATTGGGTCTGTTATCATCAGGTCCCAGAGGGGAGGAGAGCTTTCGAGGCAGCACACACTCAGTATGAGGCTCCCCTTCCCCCAGGTCATGTGATGTGCTGCCCATGCTGCGGTAGAGAGCTTCTCGCCTGGGCTACTCCAAGTAGCTCAGTTAAACTCACTGGTTCACCAAACCAAACGTGGGTGGAATCATTTCTTCAGTCTGTCATTGGCACTCTGTCTGGCCGAAAACGGCTCCCCAGGAAAAACTCATGCAACAATGCGACAGACGTTTGCCAAGGACTTGAAATATGGGAGATACCAGACTAGGCCCTAGTATCACCGCAGTGGAAAAAAGAAAATCCTCTCAAGTTGCATTCTGGTGAGAGAGGCAGAAAACCAAATGCATAAATCACCACGTTAAGTTGGGGTACTAATAATTCGTGTGAAGACGATAAACCAGAGTCTTGGCCGGGGGCGGGGGGTGGGGGGTTTGTTGTCTGTCCTCTGAACAGATAATGCCCATTTGAGAAAAACTGAGGACAGAGCTAACTCAGACTGTCTGGGGACAGGGCTGGCGGGGTGACATGGAGCAGAACGGGGCTTCCAGAAGGAAGTGTGATACTGAGAGAGCAGACATTGAGCTAGCAAGGAGGAGATAGAGACAAACCGGTGCCAGATTATATGGGAGCCCGGCAGCAATCGCAAGGAGCTTGGACTTTCTCTCACGTGCAGGAAACCTGTGGATGGTTACAAACAGGAAAAGGAAAAGATCTGCTTCGCATTACCAAAGGATGAGTCGTGGTGAGTCTATAGAGAATAAATTATAGCAAGATAAAAGGAGGAAGGAGAGCAGCTCAAAGGCAGTTGGCAGTAGCAGCCAAGGTGAACGATGGCGATGATTGGAGCCGTGGAGTAGCGGAGACATTTGGAATCCACAGATGGCTGCGGGAATACGGAATGAGGTTTCGGGAAATGCGCACGGGGCTACCCCCCTCCCTCCATGCGTCCCTGCCAATCCCAACATAAATCTTCATTTCTCTGCCGGCAACTCACGATAGCCTCCCCTGTTCGTGCTTTTTATTCCTGTCCAGAGAAGGGATTTGGGTGCTGGGTTATTACTTGATTTATTATTCGTTTTTCAATTAATAATTCTACCAGTGAGGCAAGTGCACAAGTTCCCTTCTTGGCTCGTTGGCTACTGCCCCCTGCGCATGGATTCTGCCTTCTAAGAATGAGGGCCTTATTTAAGAACTGTGTGCAGCACTGGGCTCCACACCACTGACCCGCAGTATTGGTGAACTATGTTCGCGGTTTAGTACTGCAGCCTCACCCCCCAGGCCAAAGACAGCTGAAGGCTTTAAACCTGCTTATGATTTAGAGGTGTGTGCGCCCATGCACGCTTGTGCAGTCTCTTCTCTCCTGCACTTTACATGGGTGCTGGGAATGGACTTAGAGTACCAAGGCTTGCATTAGCCACTGTCCGCTGCCCAAAAGTCGGATCAAGGTATTAACACAGGGAATGTCTATCTGCTTCTCCACACCCTCAACAACACTGGGTGTCTATAATTACCATTCACCAGTACTTGAAGAATTACTCTCTTTCCCTGTTAACTGCCTCTTCATGTCTGCTGGTTTTGTAGTTCTTCTATTTGAAATTATCTGACCATCTTCTTTGACTATCTTGATATGAGATTGCTTCACCCATTGATTTATCAGGTCTCTTTGCATATATCAGTGTGTTATGCTCTGCCTGTAGTATATCTTATGGAAAATCTCTCCCAACACAGTGCCAAAACTGACTTTGCTTTTTAATTGCATTTAGGAACCCCTTCGTCATAATCCAGTAGTGTAAGGTTAGATGAAGCATGAACTAGACTTTGCAGCTCTTACTTTTAAAGCCGTTAAGATGGAAATTAAAATTGAGTAAGAACAAAGATGCTCGCTCTGTCTACCCGAGTATTACCTATTTGTTCATCTCGGTCTCTGCTGTTTCCTCTAGTGCACCCTGTACCGCCTTCACCGAATTCCAAGAAGCCGGGAGGTTCGGCAGGCCTGGCTCTCCTCAGTGTTCACCACCTTATACGCCACGTGGTTTTCCTTTCTCCTGGTTTGCCGAATAAAGCCAGATTTGGTATGTAAGCCGGTCCCTCAGGACAGAGAAAGTAACTCTCTTTATAGCTTGTTCACAGATAATAAGATCGATGGTTTCATTCAACAGTTACCATTTCTAAGCGAGTCAGGGCTTTTTAGCGGTACATAACGTGTATAGTTTATATGTGCTTTGCTGAAAGATGTGAGAAGTTGCCTTCCTAGCTAAGTTTGAAGTCCTGTCCTGTCCTTTCTTTTATAACGATAAATACCAACAGTGTCTTTGACTAATGCTTGTGGCCGCTCACTGTGGTTCCTAACCAGCACCATGTGCGAGTCAGCCACCAAATAGTTGATTCTTTTTCAATAGCCTTCTTGGTATTTGTTAAGACTTTGACCAAATATGGTATGTGGCAGTCAGAATTTCATATATATTCAAGTTTTCACAGGAAAGGAGGACAGGAAATAGAAAAACAAAAGCTAACTACATCCCTGCACCACAACATTCTTATAGAAGTCTTGCAGGCTCTTGCAGTCTTGTGGTAAAGTTGCAGGATTCATTGCAAACGTGCAGCGGTGGATAGTGCAGATTAGGGATGTGTATCACAGTACTGTACATGGCTCTTAAATTATGTTCATCCCGTAGATGGTGGAATCCATTAACTGCTGTAGCCTAAAAGGAAATTCTTTCCTTGATTCCCAGATATAGGAGTTTTGGAAGTAGAGATTATTCTCAGGAATAATTGAGCCAAAGTGTGTGGTTTAGAAGGTTCTCTATTAGTTACCCTTCATCAGCTAGGTTAAACTGCAAACCCTCATTGTGGAGGACAGTTTAAAATCTTTTATATTTTTACATGAATAGTTCTCTATGAGTTTTTAAAGTAGCATTTACATACCAAGAACACACAGCTCTTATGTGTACAGTTTGACCACATCCCTGAGAAAATGTAGAAACTATGATCTCAGAGTGTTTTTCCAGCCAACCCAAGCCCCCAAGAAATCACTGTTTTCTGATCCATGCCACCCTTGATTAGTTTTATACACACTTATCTTTTTTAAAGTTTATTTTTATTTTATGTATATGGATGTTTGCCTGCATTTATGATTGTGTATCACGTGTATGCCTGGTGCCTTGGAGGCCACAAGATTCATCAGATTCCAGGGAGCAAAGTTACAGAGGGTTGTGAGCTGTCATGTGGGCACTGGGGATTGAACCCAGATCCTCTGGAAGAGCAGCCAGTACCCTTAACCAATCTTCCCAGCCTCCTCAGATTTTTGTCAAAATAAGTTGAACTCACAGTTTACAACTACATTGTTTAGCATGTAGGAGTCAAATATCTTTCTTAAAGATTTTCGTTGGCCTCAAATGCTTGATATGATTGAAGGGGAAAAAGTTCATTTTATTTATTTTGAGATGTATTAAGGAGTCTTTGTTTGATATTGTACATAAACCACTATAGTGCTTTTCAGTCAGTTAAAAGCAGCCTCATCAGATAACAGGGAATCCTAATTAAGTTGACTTAGTCAAGAACAGTATAGACACCTGCTTCCTTGTCTTTAATCATCGCCCATAACAGGCTAGGGGTAAAATTGAAACGGTGAGTCACGTTTGTTCTGACAGTGAAGAGAATTTTTCCCAGTGTGAAAACATACTCGTATAACCAATTATGTAAATCTAAGTATAAAGCCAATCTTTGGAGCTGGAGAGGTGGCCCTGTGGTTAGAGCACTGCCTGCTTTCCAGAGGACCCGAGTTGTTTCCTGTGCCCACGAGGTAGCTCCCAGCCATCTGTAACACCAGATCCAGGCATACGAAGACGCTCTCCTCGGACTTCTTCAGGCCCCAGCATACACACAGTGTGCACAGACAGATGCAGGCAAAGCACACTTGTGCATAAAATGAAATTGAATTGAGTAGACTTCAAGATGGCATTCCTTAACTTTGTGAAAAGCTGAACATTACTAATTAGATCCAATCATATCTTTATTTTATTTATTTTATGTGTATGGGTGTTCTGTCTGCACACCAGAAGGGTGCATACAGATGCCATGGGACTACAGTTCCAGCTGGCTGTGAACCACCAAATATGTGATGGGAATTGAACTCAGGACCTCTGGAAGAGTAGGTAGTGCTCTTATCCACTGAGCCATCTCTCCAGCCCCCAGTCATATCTTTAAAAGGGAGGAAATAGTGACAATATTTAGTAAACCAAAATTGCTATTTAAAAAAAAAAAGATCATATTGGGCTGGGCATAGTCCTGCATACCTTTAATCCCAGCACTTTGGAAGAGGCAGGAGGATCTCTGTGAGTTCAAAACCAGCTTGTCTATATATCGAGTTCTAGGACATCCAGGAATATATGGAAAGACCCTGTTTCAAAAAAACCAATAAACAAAAAGATCATATTCACTTTGCTCTAATCTGGTTTTACTTAAATCAGAACAGGCTTCCAACAAAAATATTTTGTTACTTTTCATAATCTGGATTCTGGTTCATGAGTTTGATCCTGGTTCATATTGGAAGTGAGACATTTGTTTTATAATAAATAGGGCATCGCAATCACTGGTTAGCAGTCCCTTTCATATAAACTGTTAAATCTGCTCTTTCTTCCTCTTAGTTCTAGCGAAGGTTACTTTTGTTCCAGGGATGTCCTTTTGGGGATTCTCTAAATATGTCGTCCGAGTATCCTTTCTCCAGCTGATGCTGATAACATTGGCATTTGTGGAAGAGAGTCCTGGTGTGTCTTCCAAACAGATTGCAGATTTGGTCTGATCTTCTGCTTGCCTGCGTCTTCCACAGTGTGACACCGAGTGCACTTTGGAACAAAACTCTCCACGCCTTTCTCAGTGTTGCCCATTTATAATTCATTCCTCCATTCCCTGGCCAGTGTGAGTGCAGCGACATTAGAACTCAGAAGGACATGATAAAAAGATGGGTAATGTCTGCTGTGGATGCAGAAGAGCTCGGTGACTCCCTGGTCTGGGCTTTGTTTGGTATTCCAGAGCTGGGGACTGAGCCCAGCTCCTCAGGAATGTAGGCCTGTGCTGTAGAACCGGCTCTAAGTTTCTGATACTCTAGTGCTATGCCTTGTGGGTGGTGGGACGCTTAGTCCTAGGCCCGTTTGCCTCTTACATTATGGCATTCAGTTCCCTTCAAGGCCTTATTCACCTTAAAATAAAAAGGAGTGGACCAGCCATCCCCTCCACGTCTTCCTTAGTCTAATGGAGTGGGCCAGCCATCCCGTCCACGTCTTCCTTAGTTAGTCCAAAGTTTCACCGTGCTATAAAAATGCTTGTAAAAAGTGTGTGTGTGATATTCTCATGTTTGTGAGGAATAAGAGAGGAAGGGGGTATAATACATGGAAAGACATCTTCTGTTTTTAAATGGCTGAGTTTTAAGAGTTGCATCAAACCTGAACATTGATTGACAGCTACTCTGATCTGGTCAGCTTCACCTGATGAGCCTGCACTTAAGGAAATCCCCCTTTAAAGGGGAACAAAACTAGAGCCCCCGCTACACTGAAAGAAAAACGACCATACAAAGATCTCGCCTATATTTATCCGCAGGCCACTGAGTGTGTAAGTCTCTCCCCAGTTTAGACAGTGTAATTAGTACCTGCAGGACTGACTAGAAATGCCTGGTGTTCCCATGGGACCAAAGTCAAGTTTTATAAAATCCTAGTGACTAGAGAGGAGAATTGTGTAGTGGCTGTGACGCCTCTGCGTCGGATGGTCACACGTTTATTGTGACGCTAGACCCTGCACTAACATCAGGGACAGTTAAAGTCACGTTGAGGGTGTCCTGACAGTTCTCAGAACAAAACCGATGAGGTCGGTGTCGAGAGATCCTGCCACCCACGTGCTAGCAGAGCACATTTGTTTACTAAGAGGCTTGCTGAGCTAACAGCTCCACCACCGTGCCTGCATTCTCAATTGCACCAGGTACTGATGGCTGCAAACGTCCTAGATTGTCAAATATAATAAATTATACTAAACTTGTAACTCTCTGTTATTTAATGCCTGTAGTTAGCAAGTTTTTCATGTGTAGCGTGTTGCCAGACTCTAAAGTTAACTGCAAGGCAGACGATCTTCTCTCTTGCTTTGTGTTGGAATCAGAGTTGAAATGTATAAGCTATGTCAGTGAACTGGACATTTTTACAAACCGAGAAGTGGACATCTATGCCATATCATGGGTGCCTTTGCTCTATCCTTTAGATTTTACTTTTTAAATTATAGCAAAAATAATGTGTTGGAAGATAATGTGTTTGTTGCTACAATTTAAGAATTTGCTTTGACAACAATTTTGGAAGATTTTCCTAGGTATATTTTGTAATATTTTGAACAGTAACCAGGTGGTCACCAAGTAAACTATAGCTTCAGAGGCTGGAAAGATGGTTCAGCAGTTAAGAGCATTGATTTCTCTTCTCGAGGATGTGGGTTCCATCCCCAGCACCTACATCATGGCTCACAAGCGTCTGTAACTCCTCCCCTGGCCTCCCCAGACATGCAAGTGTTACACAGAGATCTGCAAGCCAAACACGCAGACACACAAAACCACGTTTAAAAATGTTTTAAATTATATGACTTAAGCAGCGGTCCTCAGCCTCCCTAATGCTGTGACCCTTTAATGCAGTTCTTCATGTTGTGGTGACCCTTAACCATAAAATTATCTTGGTTGCTACTCCATAACTGTCATTTTGCTACTGTTATGAATTATGGTGTACATATCTGTGTTTTCCAACAGTCTGAGGTGACCCCTGTAAAAGGGCCATTCAGCCCTCAAGAGGGCTGAGACCCACAGGTTGAGAATTGTTGGCTTCAGGGACTACTCACTCTCAGAAAGGAGAGCATGAGCTGGGTGGTAGTAGCGCACACCTTTAACCCCAGTGCTCAGGAGACAGAGGCAGGTGCATCTCTGTGAGTTCAAGGCCAGCCTGGTCTACAGAGCGAGTCCAGGACAGCCAGGGTGTACAGAGAAACCCTGTCTCAAAGGGGTGGGGGGGAGAGAGAAGGAAAAAGAGAGTGGCATGAGCCTTTGATTGCT